GCCTAGTTACCTATATAGTAAAATTATCTATAAATACTATCGCTCCGCCCTAGCTATTAATCTATCTTTATATAAGGTCTATATTAAAGAAGAGGAATAGGATTAGGGATAGGGGCGAGCCCTAAGGTAGGCTAGCCTATAGAAGGCTCTAAACCTCTAATACTTACCTATTAATTTAGATAGTCGCCGTTCGTTCTAAATAGAACGCTTTAACCTACCAGAGTAGGTTAACTAGTATACCTTGCGCTTTTATTCTCTAAAGTAGTTATTCTTTATATATACTATTATAGGCGCCTTTAATATTAAAGCTAATTAAACTTAATACCTATCAGCTATACTATACTATATAGATCTACTCTTATAAAAGTATAAGCGCCTATTCTATAGACTATTACTTTTAGGCTCTAAAATAGCTAGTTAAGAGTAAGCTATATATCTCTATAGTATATAAGATCCTTTCTATAACTATAGATTCTAGTATCTTACCTAGTATTATAAGAAGCGAAATTAGCCTCTATACCTTTATAGTAGTATAGTTTTCCTTATTTAGCTTTTTAAGCGGTATAATCTTTATATATCTCTACTATCTTAGTAATATACCTTCTTCTAGTAATACCTAGAATAAGTTAAGAACCCTATACTTAACTATAGGCTATATTATCTTCTAGACTATCGTTAGTAGACTATCTTTACCTAGTACCTTCTATAATTTCGCTATAAAAAGCTATCGTTCTACCTCCTTTAGGCTAATAGTAGGCATTCCTACTAGTTCTCTTTATAGTCTAGTACCCTTATTGTTAATAATATTAGATAGAGGGAGAAAGAATTTAGATAGTAGCTCTTCTACTTACTCTTAATAATCTATAGTAATAGTCCTATCTACTCTAATAAGCTATAGTAGTTTCCTAAATACTATGTCCTTTCCTAACTTCAGGTATTAAGTGGCTTTTTAGATATTATTATTATCTATAAGAAACTTATTCTAGTACTTCTTCTTTTATTTATAGATAGTATTATAGTATTATTTCGCCGTACTTTAGGCTGTCTTTTCTAGGTATAATACTTTCTATCCTACCTAGCGCTCCGAGCGAGTATGATTTCGCTAGTATATATATATATAGCGTAGCTATATTAAGTCGGCTATTTACTATCGTTTCGCGTATAGTAATAGTTTTATCTTTAGAGTAAAAGTATATACTACCTTACTAACCGCTATTATAAGTTAGTTAGTCTTCTACTATACTATACCTCCTAACAGAGTGGTAGTTAGAGCACTTGTAATTATAGTATTAATTTCTTTTTATAGTATATTCTTTAGCAGAAGTTATTCTAAATACTTTAAGGCTAACTATAATATATCGAATATAGTCTTAATTATATAGTAATCTAAGCTATACTCTATCCTATATATTATATACTTAATTATTAAGTCTATTAAATTATTAGAGGCTAGGATAAGATCAATAGTTAACTTATAGTCCCCACTCTATCTACCACTATACTATATCTTTATACCTTATTTAAGTAAGCTACTAAGAGTAAACTCGTTTATAAGGTTAATAATTAGATCTGCTTTACCCTATCTTCCTAAGGATACCTTATCTCCTTCCTAGAGTTAATTATAGTAATTAAAGTCTCCTATAATTATAACCTCTACTACAGCGCCTATATCTTACTATACCCTTATAACTACCTTTCTTAGATAATTATACATATTATCTAATACTAAGGTATCTCCCCCCTTAATATAAACTAATACTATAAATATCAGACGCTTAGGGAGGTAGATAACTATTATAGTTAGATCTAACGACTTAATCGGTACCTACTCTACTTCTATATCCTTATTAATCTAAAATATACTTTAGATTACCTATCGGCCCTCCCTTTAGGTAGAGGGAACTATCTTAGTCTATTTATAATATCCTATTAGGGTTATTAAGAGCTAGCCTTAAATTCTCCTCACTTAGGGTTCTTAAATCGCTAATACCACTACACTATATATATCTTTATTATTTATTAAACTATTATATACTACTCCCTATTTCCTTATATTAAGTTAGATAATTTAGATAATTTTATTTATATTATAATAGGTAGAGTTTCTAATAATTTCTACTAAATAATTTATAAGGTCCCCTATATAGAATATACTTTAGAACTATTTAATTATAGCTACTATAGTAGTAGCTCCCTATAGCGTACTTAGCATACTTCTAGATATTCTTATACTAGAATACCTTATATCTAATTTCCTAGTAATCATAATATTATATTAGTTAAGGTTAATACTTAAAGGTACTAGTTATACTAGATTCCCCCTTAGTATAAAAGAACCTATTAGCTAAGAGCCTCTATATATTAGTGCCTTTAGTTAGATATACGACTATAGACCTATATACCTTCGCGCTATCCTTTCTACTAAGCTATATAATCTTAGCTATAGTAGCTTTATTCTCCTTACTAAAGGCTGCTACAGCTTCAGCTTAGATCTTATCTTTCTTATCTAATATAGCAGCCTTATTAATACTATTAACTTTAATTAGGTAAAGCTTATTATAGAGTACCTAGGCCCCTATATTAATCTTAGCTTCTACTACTTTCTTAACTAGCTAGTATTTATATTTATCGCGGTACACAATTCTGATTTAGTTAGTATTCTTTAGATCTATAGTAATAGTATAATAGCGCTAATATATATAGCCTTCTATTATCTAAATCTCTAACTTAACTGCTACCTAGATTAGGCCTATAGATATCCTCTTATTATTATTTTCTACTATTTTTGAGGTATCTATTATATAATATAATATATTAGTAACTATAGTTAGTATTATATTTGATATTAAGAGTATCTATATATTACTCGGGTAACTAAGTAAGGGAGTACAGGCAATATCTATATAGGATAAGAAGCTAGTAGGAATAGAAGGGCTGATAGTATCGTATAGGGATTAAATCTCGCAGAGGATCTTATTATAGTTATTCTAAGCGTATATCTTAGTATAGGATTACGGTATTAGGGGTCTATCTATTACGGTTTGTAGCTTATATCAAACTCCTATAAGGGCGGCGCTAAATTCTTCCCTGGCTTTTCGAAACTCTTCTTAGACCTTCTAGAGCTCTTCTCTATACAGCTTATCTCGCTGTCGGATTTCTTCCCTAAGTTTAATAAGCTCTTTCACGAGATTAGTAGTACTTAGGTCCTCACTCTCAGTTGAGGAGTTATCCGAAGTTGTTATATTACGTTGGGCTTCTGGTTCGATTTAGGTTCTATTCTTTTGTTGGGATCGCGTCTTCCGCTGTTCGCTGTCAATTTCTTACTCTCGAGAATATTTATTCGGTGGTCTAGTGGTGCGTTTCGGTCTCAACAGTCGCGGTGGTGAATCCCTATGTTCGTCGCGGTCGGGCGGTTTAGGGGTTCGCATCGCGGCCCGTCCCGCCATCACTTACAATCGTTATAGGAAGTCGGTATCGTCACCACGTGGCGCTGTCAGATGTCCCTTTCTGGTCGTATATAGTATTTCCCAGCAGTACCGATTTCACCCTTTAAGTTACCGCCCGTATGCACAGTCGATTTCGAATACAGTACTTCCGGAAATCGGTGTCACCACCTTCACTCTTTCATTGTTTCCCGAATTCTAATGCCAAGGAGTGCTAAACTAGATTTGGAATAATCAAAATAATATGCCTGGTATAGGCTATGTACCGTAAATTACCGGATTATTGTATTAGCCTGGCCTGTGTGATTACCTGTCATAGCTAGACAGCTGCTACCTCGACACTTAGACATTTGTCGCTGCTCGTGCCAATATCTCATGCGTCATAGGATCTCATTGCACTTCGAAACTATAATCCTTTCTAGACCTTGGAGTGATTTTCAATACTTTTTTTGTTTTACTTTCAAATCCTAATCTAGTCCACAGTACCTTTCCATAATATTATCTAGACTGGGATACGAACTTCATTGTCTATACTCCGCAGCCGGAAAGATTACTGCCACCTCATCTGTTTTCGACTTCGGCTGTATGGTCTAGGTCTTCTGTGTCGCTCGCGACAATAGCTCAGCGGATTGGGCCGTTATGGTACAAGTTTACGTCTCTGGCCTCTTATTGGCCAGTATCACAACCCTTTTCCCCTCGGGGGATTAGCGCGCCAAGACCCTACGAGGAGGCGTCAAATATGGACGTGTTTTAGCGATATATATTGCCCAATTCGCACTTCCGCATGCGTAAGTCTCTCGGAAGATTAGGAACCGGTAGGGAGTTGAACCACGGACGACACTGGTAAAGGCTACATCTCTGATGGTGTACGTGGACCATGTGGCGTCATGCCACCGCATTTGCATCAACGATGCTGTGAGTTCGTCAAAGCTATCCGTCCAGCAGATTGATATATAGTAACAGGATTGGCAAAATGTGGGCATTCGGCAGAACCCGCGGAGCTTCGGAGCCATGGTTCCGCAGTGAGTGATCCTTGGAACTCTTCTTAGAATTGAGGTTATTGTTACGGACCCGCAATCACCAATGAATTGAAGGGCCGCAACTTAAGGATGGACCACCAAGAACCAACCAAGTTCTCGGGAACCACAGGACGGTGGCTGAGAGCGTTTTTGATTTCGTGACGTCTTTACTTCATACTAAAAATTCCTAAATCCTTGGTCCAGAAGGGCCTTTTCAATGCTGTGGGAGAAGGGAAAAAGAAAAGCCGCCGGGGGGAGGAGGGGGGTTTTGGAGGAGTGGATATGATGTCATAGGTGTCAAACGTTTTCGTATGCGGTACGCTTATTCTGCTACAGCTGAGAGCGTTTTTGATTTCGTGACGTCTTACTCCATACTAAAATACCAATACCTGGATTCTTGGGCCAGAAGGGCCCTTTCAATGCTGTGGGAGGGGAAGGGTGGATATAAAATGGTGTCTTCTCCAGCCTACTGACATCAAACTTACTTATTTTAAATATTCTCCCTATTTCCAGTACTGATAGTTGTGATTGGATCATAATGTGTCACGTCGGCGAGAAGCAGTCCGCTGAAGCTGCACAGAGACCACCTATTGAGACCCCATACCAAGGTTTGGTTTTCACTGAACCTAAAGGCAATCTAATTCCAATTTACCACTGGGAGAACAAAACAAACAGCCATTTCTACACATCTGACCCGATATCTGCCGTCACGCTAGAGGCCACGGAAGCATACGTAAAGATTGGAATTGCTTGGTACATCTATCCAAAGCGGCAGGACGGCACTAAAACACTACCTCTGGTCCGTTGGTATGATCCAGTCGAGGGATTCTATCGATACACAGCTAGTGAGGTGGGCCTCCTTTCTCCAGCTCCAGAATGCAAGCGCGAGGCTATTCTAGGCTATATACCCATCCAAGATCGCGACACCCTTCCAACACCCGGCACCATTGCTATTGATCCCGATATCATCTTCCAACCGACTGGCCTTTTCACCTTCGACCCAGCTTTTACAGACGAGCAACGCTATCAGATCCTCCAGGCGCACAGCATCGCCTACGAACGCGCGGGTGTCTGCCACTCTATCTCCGGCCAAGAGGCCGGGGAAGTGCGCGGGCTATATTGGGTACAAATCCACCATGGCATTGACACGAACCCAAATAACAACGCCAGCACAACTGTCGGCAGCCGTTTCATCGATGTCAGTATTACCAACTTGCTGTCGCTGTCGAAGAATGAGATTGCGCAGACGCTATTGCACGAGATGCTGGGAGAAACTAATTCTGACACGCGCTAGACTGGTTTGGTTCACCGTCTCGTAATTCTGGCAGAACTGTTATCGTAATGGCTGTATTAATATCATTGTCATAGTACATACCGTAATATTACATGGAACCATTTAGAATAGTTTTGTTGTGCGACCTCCGTGCCTCTCATATCCTCTCCGTCGTCTCGAAAAGCAATTTCCTCCACAATGCCCATTACGGCCTTCAACTTCCCTAAATAATTGAGTTTCCAAGCCTTGGGCTCGTTTTTGGCAAGCGACTACCTCTGAAATGCTGCTTGATTTACCAAATGAAATGCTGCTGCGCATCGCAGAGCATCTGACAGTTACAGAGCATATAAGTGCTTTTGCTCAAGCGAACACCCACTTTTACAGCCTCCTAAATCCCTTGCTTTATCGTTATGATGTGCAACACCGTGAAAGTTCGGCATTATTATGGGCTGCAGAGTATGGGAGAAAGGTGACAGCTCGAAAGTCGCTAGATCAAGGAGCTAGCTTGAAGGCTCTGTCTTACTCGCTTAAGCTAGCAGCAAAAAACGCGCATGAGGAAGTGATCGAACTTTTGCTTGCAATGGAGGGCGTCGACCCAGATTCCAAGGACTTATTCGGACGGACGCCGCTGTCATATGCCACAGAACATGAGAATACGGCCGTTTTCAAGCTACTCCTCGCAACGGAGGGCGTCAACCCAGACTCCAGGGATCATAATAACCAAACGCCGCTATCGTACGCAGCGCAAGGGGAACAAGAGGAAGTGGTCAGGCTATTGCTCGCAACAGAGGGTGTTGACCCTAACACAGGATGATAACGGGTGACTCCTTTATCCATGGCAGCAAAAAGAGGCTCCGAAGCAACGGTCAAGCAACTTCTCGGAATCGAAGACGTCAAACCAGATTCCAAGGACCTATTTGGACGGACGCCGCTGTCGAATGCCACAGAACATGAGGATACGGCTGTGTTCAAGCTACTGCTCGCATCGGAGGGCGTTGACCCAGACTCCAAGGATCGTAACAACCGAACGCCGCTTTCCCGTGCAGCACAGTTTGGAAATCTAGCAGTGGTAGAGCTACTGATCGCGACGGAACGTGTCAACCCAGACTATAGGGATTCTAAAGGACGGACACCGCTATGGTATGCAGCTGAATACAATCGTGGGGTCGTGGTCCTGCTACTGCTCTCAACTGAGGGCGTCAACCCAGACCCTAAGGACTCGTACGGAGGAACGCCAAAATGGCTCTCTTCATATCGGCAGATTCATTATAACCGTCTAGGTAGCTCTGCTATCAAGACTTCCCAATACTAATTTTCCTCTTTTCTGTGTATGTGTTTCCTATCCCACTGTACGGCCCTAGGAAAGGGTCGACGGAATCTAAGCTCACAGCAATTAATACACAATTTCAGTCGCCCGATATAACGACCGCAGGCCAACGAAGTGTTCTATCAGGAGTTTCCAATTGTTGTCACCCAAGTAAGATACAAGATCATACCAAAGTATTTTGCTGTTGCCCACGTTCTCTTCCCCAGGTCTGTAGAACCAATAACACACCCTAGTAGAGTTCGATCCGCAAAGATGTCGTCGACAACTGCCGCGTCCAATTGCTAGCCACATGATTCTTTTCTTAGCGGATACTATATTCGTCTGCTATATTCGTCTACACAATTCATTCCAGATCAAAAACATACAAAAACCAACGCCGCAAAATAATAATAACACAACTTAACCAAACAAATTAAACTAAAACACTCAGTTCCCATCTCCAGATTTCCCCTCACCCCAGACGATCAGTAGAATCCGAGATCAGCTATACCTCTGCACTCTTACTTAAACCACTTTATTCACAGGAAAAAGACCCGGTAAGCGCTAACCCGTTTTATGTTACCGCTCTGTAATCATAGTAGAACAAATGCGGTAACTTACTAGAAGTTAAATTTGATGAGTCATCACTCAAATACACCAGTTCCTGTCGTGCAGTCCTAGTATTATTAAATACAAAGGCCATTTAAGAAAGCGGTGTGAAAAGCAGATGTCAGCAACAATATCCAATCAGGATTATCGAGTACCGGACATATTTTCCAGGAATCGAGTCGCAAGAGTGCGGAGGTATAACTGATTTCGAATACTACTGTATCTCATTAAGGTGTGAGACAGATTTTCAGATGCTTGCGGTAATCTCACAAAAGCGGAAGGGCTATTGTAGGGGCAATTGATTCAGGGTAAAAGTACTAATCATGGCATGTAGAAACGGATCATAAGACGTTTTGTTTCCGCCCACGGGCCATCGGGAACCATATCATGAGGAAATTTGCCATCATCAGACATGGCGTATCGGTCAGCTCCAGCCTTCAACAATTCCGCAGCTGCTTCCCACGCCCCTTCTTTGGCGACAACGCTATGCAATGGCGTGTATCCGAAGATGTCTCGAGTGTTCACTTCGGCTCCATTCTGAATGAGAAGTGCGACAATCTTGTGGATTTTCCCGAAATATGCCTCCGCGGCATAATGAAGAGGACATCTACCGTGGTTGTCTCTCGAATTGACAGAACCTCCACGTTCTAGTAGCACTGCTATCAACTCCATTGAGCCAGTCCGCGCAGCAAGGGAAAGAGGCGTCATTCCTTCAGTGTTTCGAAAATGAACATCGGCTCCAAGTGAGAGTAGTTTTCGGGCACACTCTATCCCATGTCGGTTGTAAAAGTGCCTAATAGCGGAGAAAATTGGAGTTTCTCCCTGCTTGCCGCCGGCACAGTTCACGTCAGCTCCTTTTTCAACAAGCCAGCCGGTCATATCAGGACACCAGCTGCTTGACGAAGCAGCTAAGTGGAGAACAGTTTCGCCGTAGGCATCTGTAGCCATGATGCTGGCACCGCAGTCAAGCAGGGCTTGCGCTTGTCTGATGGCGCCCTGGGCGACTGCATGGAGTAGAGGTGTCTTCTGGTCGTGATCTGTAGAATCGATCTCAGCTCCATGCATAACGAGCGTTCGGATAATAGTTTTGTTGTCATTCCTACGGCTTCTGGATCGTTCTGCAGCGTAGAAGAGCGCACTCCATCCCTGGCTCATATTTTTGAAGTTCGGATTGGCGCCAAGATGTAGTAGCAGGCGCACAGCACGTGTGCATGAACAATCAGCTGCTACTTGAAGCGGTGTTCTCCCTTGGTTGTCTTGAGTCTCCGTTTGAATACTAGTATCCATAAGCATTTTCATGATTCCGGGAGAAACATTCTTTGAAGCCGCGATGTGTAGGAGGTTCATGCCAGTTCGGTGTTCCAAGATGTGTGTGTCGGCCCCATGCTCCAGAAGTAATGCCACTTTAGGCTCTTGGTTTGACCTTACAGCCTCTAGTAGAGGAGGATGTTTGTCGAACGCAACGGAATTGGCCCTGGCACCATGCTCTAGTAGCAACTTGGTGATAATCGCGTCGCTACGCCCATTTGTCGCCAAAGCCAAAGGCCTTCTGGACCGAGCGTCAGCTGCATCCGGCAAAGCTCCATTATCTAGAAGAATTTGTACAATGCGGGTTTGCTTAGTGGTAACAGCTTCCAGAAGAGCTGTCGACTGTGACCGATTTTGTGGTCGAAGGTTAACATTCGCCCCCGCCTGTAGCATATTTCGAACTCCAAGTTCGTCTCCACGACTTGCATACCACAAAAGAGCCGATCCACCATCGGAGCAGACATTTCTGTGGTAGAGCTCATTGATAAGGAGGTTGAAGAGCTTTTGGCTAACTTGTATGAATCTGAAAAGATCTTTCGGTGAATCCAAATGGCTTGCAATGAGCAACGTAATTTCCGGTGGGAAAGAGAGAAGACACATAACGAAAAGCTGGGAATGGTTGACTGTCACTCATGCAGCGAGTGATGGAATTATTAGTACCGTGCTCAAGATGAATCAGCTGAAATGGCTTTGTATCATGCGGCGATGGCCAAGCAAAAGCAGAATCAAGAACCGTTGAAGTTTCAATGGATTCCTTCTGTATTTTTTAAGAGGCGCTTAGTAGAACTTTGTCGCCTCTTACCCAATCAAACGTTTTGACTGAGGGTTGAAAATAGTCCGTCATGTTTGTTCTCAAAATTAAACACTTTGAACAACCCATTCAGTTAACAAGAGACCCTCCAGTTACATTCTAGAGAAGAAGTTGGGATTGCTGAATAAACTATCACAAAATATTGCTAGCATTTTGCTTGGGTCATCGCGCAGTGTTGAGGTACAGTTCAGTTTTCCCGGCTCTTCGTTCAATTCATGACCGACAAAAAGGATCATTTTTCCTTTTAAAAATGGGGTATTACATTGTATCTCTACCAGCCGATAGGTTGTTGCGTGGATTGTTGTAATATAGAGAAATTATTGATTGTTCTTATTTCTGAGGGGGTTCAGGAGCTTATATATGCAATGTGAGGTCCAGATTGATTTGCAATCAACTTGATTCGTTTTATAGATTGTGAAGGAATTAATTGCGATGATTCGGCTTGGTCCCTAACCTACACCAGCCATATATCACAACAGGGATAATAAGCGGAAATCTATATCACACGACCGATATTGGTTGACTCAAAGTTTCAGGTGGGCTCCTCGAGTAGTCATTTCGAGGCATCCCAAGAAGAACCGAATTTGAAGTTTAATCTCAACTTTGCAGTTGGACTCTACTTAGATGACGCTTTTCATCATCACTGCAACCTTTTGCTCGAGTTTTCTCGTGGGGGCGGATTTTGTTCTGCCCTGGAGAACGCCCCAACAAAGTAGAGTTGCATCGATGTCTTAGCATTGTGCGGATAAAAGACAAACTAGTGAGGGACGAAATCAGCTTGTTGCTGCAATTCGGAGAATTTATTCAATCATAATCATTCAGCTATTTGAGCCACAAATTTGAGATTTTGCGTTTGAAGATAAATATTTGGGGTCTCGTATAGTTCTAGTATCCTCTATAACCTCCCACAATATTTTCCACAAACAAATATGGATCAAGCGGCGAAGCAGGTACCATTGGCCAGACGTAAGAGTAGGACGTCCGTTTTGCGTTGAGGAAACCAGGCGTTCCTTGGTTACGAGGCCTGATGGACAACCTATAATGGCATTTTCTCATATCCTGGTTCGCGATAACATCATGCACTAGCTTACGGACTTGGGGTAGGCTTCCTAGCACTGATTCAACTCGCGGGAGGAAAAATGGGTATACCTCCAACATCTCATCGGCCTCATTGCTCAAAATGCAGAGCCGGATCTCTGCGCAGTCTAGCTTCTCCAAAGGGTGGGAAGTAGACAGGTAGGAAAAGACATCGTCAGTACAGGTAGACGGTGACAATAGGTCCGGACCATCCCATCTTTGGGCGCATACGCTGTCATAGCTGGGGTAGAAACAGCACTCGGTGTTCGGGCGACAGTCCATTCTTTCTCTGCTTGGCAATGGAAAGAGAGATGAATCACTTAGACAAAGGCCGGCATTGCCAGTGGAAAGGACAGGTGGCGGTGTAAACACCTCTCCGAGCTCCGTGAAGAACGCTTCAGTATCCAAATCCGCATGGTAACCTAGAAGAAGATAGTTAGAGTTCGGGAGCCTTGTATATGTCAAAGGTCGCACCTACCATTTTTGGAAGGTTGGTCCATTGTTCCAGTAGTGGCGTCTGTGCCTTGGTCGTTAATAAAGTAGGAGGGCGTGCAGACTTGATCCGTTTGACGCGTCTTCTAATCCTGATTTATATACCTTCCGAGCAGGGCAAACTGAAGGTATCGTTCTTTTTGGGCTTTCCAGGCCGAGCGAACAAAATCATGCGCATCGGGGATGTATATTGAACGGCTTAAGTGACATGATGAACAATGCAACACAGCCATTTCTGGTAAAAGGCCTGGTCCGAGCGTCTAATGATAAACTCATTATCGAAAGTAGGCGCGGGTGAAATTCTCTGTAGCTAGTTTGAACGGTCCCCTAGATGATATCGTGTATGTCTGATGGCACAAGAGTAGTTGAATTACGACGCTATTCCATTCTTTGCACACCAAGAGAAGTGACTCTCGGGAGTGGATGTTCAATTAGTTTTCATGCTCCGAGGAACAGGCCTCTACCCTAAGGACAAGATTCCTAGGAACCACATTACGCTTTGTCAGAGTTCAAGCATATATAGTAGCTTGCGTGTTTGGTCGCTGACCAACCATTGTGCCTTTTAGGCCTGTTAGCCTAGTGGTAAAACCCAAGCAACCGCGATCCCTGATAGACCTTCCTGAAGCTCCAAAGAAATGCAGTGTTCCTCCCAAAAGCCTTGGTCTGTCCAAATACCATATCACCTGCCAGCCACTTCCTACTACCAGAAACCTTCCTCTGGGTCTCATAGTAGCATTGCTTATTACGTACATGATTGCCCTATCTCTTCTTGGTATTACATCTGCTCGCGTCAGTGATTTTAGCACGCAAAATACGCTATAACCAATTTGACATCTCATAGTAACAATGGGATCAGGTCAAGAAATATCCACTTCTGATGAGCTCCAAGCATTTGAACGTTGCGTTCCCGGCCTGTGTAAGCTCTCGGAACAATAGCGAATCACTGGCGTTTCCGGTTGGGTAATGCGATTACCCAGTTCCAAATAATCCCTAAGATCCACTCTACTTGGGTAATACATTTTTTCAATTTTGTTTGCATTCCCAGCCGGTCTTCTGATCTTTCAGGGTTGTGCGATAGCTCTTACTCATTCAAAAGAGTCTCAATGTACCTTCTATCTATATAATCGGTCCGCCCCGGATGTCATTTAGCAACCATTAAAATCACCTTCATTCTACTTCCTTGAAACTACAAACACCCTCTATTCAATATTTGCAATACCTCATGGCTCCCATCATTGTTCAACAGCATAATGACATCAAGGGTGGGGTGGAAAATCCATCGAGATCTGCAAACCCCAAGCTCGAAGCTGCACTCGGCGATGAGGACGCGCCAGATGATCAAGATAATTGGAAATGGGATGCCGATCCAAACAATCCCTACAACTGGCCGAAGAAGTGGAAGGTTCAACAGGTGCTGATGATTGCCTCAGCGGCGTTTACAACGTGGGCCAAATTTTCTCTTTGATGTATTTTTTATTCAAACTAACGAAAACTTAGCTCACTCGGCGTGTCAATTTTGTCGCCGGCTCATTCGCAGTTCATGAACGAGTTTGGGGTCAGCAGTACAGTCGCAATCCTTCCTATGTCGCTTTACGTGTTCGCCCTAGCGCTGGGTCCAGTAGTGGGAGGACCGCTGTCTGAGACAATTGGAAGATATCCCGTTTACATCGGCTCTGTGTTACTTGGGAGTATATTTACACTGGGCGTTGGACTCAGTCACACATTTACAGCGGTCTGTGTCTTGCGGTTTCTCGCTGGCCTTTGTTTCGCACCTCCGTTGGCCATAGCGGCAGGAACCATCAATGAAACGTTCGAGCCCGCCTCTCGGGCTATCCCATCCACTATATTCATCCTGACACCTTTCCTTGGCCCTGGGCTTGGGTAAAGCCCCTTATCCCCGTATCAAGATACCAACTGATTTACTGACGTGTGTAGGCCTGTCATTGGTAGCTTTTTGGTCAATCGCAAGGGCTGGCGCTGGACTCAGTGGACTACGCTGCTTTTTGCCATGTGTACCATTATCACTACGTTCATCGCTCGAGAGACCTTCCATCCAGTGATCAAGTGCCGGCACTCCAAGAACCTTGGCTTGCCCTCGCCCTCACTACCACTTTCTTCCAAGCAACGAGATTTCGCAACTGTCGCTCTTCTCCGTCCAGCTCAGATGATTCTTACTGAGCCCATAGTAGCTTTAACCTGCTTGTATGTTGCTTGTGAATTTGCAACACTTTTCTCGTTCTTTGCTGCTTTCCCACTTGTCTTCCAAGGCATTTACGGGTTTGGAATAGAGGCATCTGGTCTTGTGTTTCTTTCCATAGTCGCCGGATGCTTGCTTGGTGCCATCACTGTGCTGCTATGTGATATATTGTTTTATCGCCGAAAGGCAGCAAGCTATCGAGGGCGCCAGGTACCACCTGAGTTTCGCCTCTACCCGTCATTAATTGGCAGTATTGGGCTACCCATTAGCCTCTTCTGGTTTGGCTGGACATCCAGAGCTGACATTTCATGGGCTAGTCCGGTGACTGCCATTACGCTATTTGCTTGGGGAAATATCTGCGTCTTCGTCAGTACAGCCCAGTATATTGTCGACACATATCATGGCTCGACGGTGGCAAGCGCGATGAGTGCAAATAGCCTGGCTCGGTATGGGCTTGCAGCTGCTTTCCCTCTTTTCACAGTTCAGAGTGAGTGTTCTCAACATTTCATTTGCTTGACGACAGTTACTGACTTGCAGAGTAGTGTATACGAAACTTGGAATTGCATGGGCCTCGAGCTTACTCGGATTTATCGCTGTCCTACTGCTGCCTATTCCCTGGATTTTTTTTATTGGAGGTAAACGTTTGAGAACGCAAAACCATCAACTGTCAGAAGTTGAAGAGCCTGGGATGGGATCAATTTGACACTGCATCTCTCTGATATCGTATGTATTGTATCCTTGTCACGGGTGACAATTGTATTGGAAGTCTTGTTATTGTACAGTGGAACTAATATGAATCAATTTCGTGCAGATCAATATTGAATTTTGTGCTTTCCTGGGTTGAGAAGACAAGTATCAGCAAGGATGTATCCCCAGCATAATGAAGCATTTAGAGGTATTGGATTTGAATTGCTTTTATCTTTCGATTTATTAAAAGTTTGTGAATATAGCAATTTTCGAGAACATTTAAGCCTCAGACACTCACACTTTGTTTGTCGACCCGTATCCAAAACAAGCTAAACCCTTTTTGGGACAAGTGGAAGGGAACTGTCCACTTATAGATCATTTTGTTTATGAGCTAGCTGGATTTCACCTAGCGTTGTCCCGGGTACGTACGAGTCGAGAAACGAAGTTTGGGTGTCTGAGGGGTAATCGCTGTAGTGACTTGTGTTGTAATTCGGAGGGGATCATGATTTCTTATTTCTATTCCAGAGGAAATATGTCACGCTATATATACAGCATGAGCTCCAAGTTGATTTTGAATCAACTTGCTTCTTCGTATAGACACCTCGGGAACTAATTCCGATAGTGCGGCTTTGTACCTGATCTGCACCAGCCTCATATCACAACAACTTGGTTATCTCTCTAACATATTTGAACTGTTAAGGTCGATGTAGTTACATAGTTAAGTTCTTGGCTAGTCTTTCTGCAGGACCGTTACGCAGTCCGTCTGTGCATGTGCTTTTTCCTAGCTCCAGTGACGTGATTTATTTTTCACTAGGGGAGCAAGTAGATGTACGCCTAGCGATGATTTAATGGTCGTGTTGAGAAGCTAAACTACCGCAACTCAGAAGGCTTTGAATTCTATCGAAATTGAATATCACTAGACATGGCAAGGAGTGGATGGTCGTTTACGTCCTCCCGGTACGTCGGGCGCCCCGTGCGCCCCTTCCGTTTAAACACCTTCTACCCCCTCGGCGCTTCAATTTTTCATCAACCATATCAATATCCACCCAGCTCTCCTGGACTCCCTCACAAAGCCCTAAGGCGTCTTTCAGAAAGCTCCCGAGGGACTGACTAAAGCCGTGGAAATCTTTGCTCTGGGGCACATAATGACTTCCAAAGAATTCATAGAACCATGGGGAAAAGCAATGCCGTGCAAGATTCCGCGTTTGGGTGGGAGAAACCGTTGCATCTAATTCGCCAACGGCGTGGAAAATGGGGGTGACTATTTTTGGGGAATAAAAATCTTCGTAGCACTTATTCCCTAATTTGAAACCACTGAGACATATTGCGAATCGTAATTGTGGATGGCGTCGCTAGCAAGATCAGTCAGACGTGGAATTCTATCCAGGTAATTATGTATGGACCACTTCAATTACCTCCCATGGAACACCACAAACCGTTTTCCTCTTCTCCAGTATTGATGCAACGATTGCAGTCATGGCGGCACCCGAAGAAAATCCCACTATGCCAATAAAAGGTCCATCTTGGTCAAGGGCACCAAGGATGTGCTCGATAGATCTCTCCAAGCCATTGATTTTCTCATTTTCTGGTTCACCGTAACCCCACACTCTTCGGTCTTTGGAATCGCTGTCGTCCGGGTAGGCTGAGAACACACCGGACAGATAATGATATTCAAAATCCATCTCGTTTGACAATGTGCGTAAGACGCTTCGCACATACCGAGTCTTCGGTATGAATATGTCTGCGGACTGACCATGTCCTAATAAATTGTTAGCTTATATCTACTGGTGTATCAGAGATGGTGTACCGTGAAGCATTAGAACTTTGTGAATCTTGGTAGACATTGCGAAACTGAGAAAACTGGAAAAAAAAAAGAAATGACTCGCAGGAAGGGTTGGTTTTGTATGACGCGGCTGTACGTTTTGATATATTCACGACATCTCGCAAGTCTACCTGTTCTGATATGATAATGGAATAAGGGGCTTATCTCAATGTAACCCGATAGTCAAACATGGCACAATATTGGTTATCTTGTTTTGCACATCGCGTTCAAGAGCATTTTCTTTGGCTGATGCCATGATGAACTAGCACAGCGCCCAAGCAAACTGAAATGGAGCTGGGCTTGAGTCTGTTCAATGTGTCGTCTAACGGTCATCGCCAACAAATCGATTGGTCTTGCAGTTGCATTCGAAAGTCCATTCCACTATATCAAATTGTTGCACTGATGATCAATTCTGCAACTTTGGGTCAGTGAACCCTGAAAATACAGTACCCGGCCAAAAAGGGCATTTTGACCATTTCTTGCGTTGTCTCCGCAAATGTCATACCATTGACCTAAATTTTGTGGTCGTACATTTTTTCTCATACCCCAAGATCTTTTGAAATCTATATCTTTCCAATACCACAGCAGGAAACCCAGTGTGTCTCGCTCGAAGCGACTTGGCTGTGAAAAAGTTGGGAGGCTCTGTAATCGGGGTCTCTGATTGGACGAAAGAAAGATCTCAAGCGTGATCTCACGTGAAAATAGCAAAAAACTTCCAGTTGTTCTCATCCTGATCAGTGCCGTTGTAAACATCAAAGCAGAAAAACTAATTCGTGTTCAATTTCCTGATGGTCCAAGCTCAAAGCGGCCAGCGAGCGTTAGACAGCGTTTCAGAGTACAGTTATTGAAAGGTAAGAAGTAGAATAAACGGGCATGACTGTGGAGCTGCAGGCCCTGGAATTGATAATAACCAAAGTATTACACTGATCAATGGACGGAGATTCACCCGGCGGCAAATGAACAGTGGATAATTACTGCGGAAGTTGCTGGGATTAGTTTGAGCCGACGTGACAAGTAAGAAGACTTGCACATGCTACCTACATCTTGTCTTGAATAATTGTCCACAGAACTGATGGTCCGGCCTAGCGTGATCACCACTGGCCAGCCTATTCTGTGTGTTTGTTATCTCTCAGATGCCACAGGCTCGCCATCCCATAGTTACTGACTATATAGTCAGTTATCTTTCCTAGTTTATACAGTAACTCTACAACAATTTACATATTGTATACCATCGTCTACCATCGTAGACATCAATAGGTTATAAGCCCAGGAGCTTATTATTAACGGTTTAACTACTAGTTAATATCCCCGGTGTCTGTGTGTCTCTCCCTATACACAGGGGTGGTACTAAGCCTAGTACTACCTAGTCAAAACTCTCGCTTTTCTTACCTCCGCCTGCCTAGAGATCTTGCCTATTTAGGCAGTGGGAATAGCTTTAGGTTTACGGCTTGTTGCCGTTATTGAACCTGCTAAGGTAATAGGTAGGCTCTGTTTCGTACAGGGCTCTCCCTGCCGGGCGTTATTATCTTAGGTCCTAGAAATTAATATATTAAGCGTTAATCGGATAGTTTTAGAGGTTTGTTTACTTAATTACTTATTTGCTAGCAATCCTTAGGCAGGGTCTATATAAACCCTATCCTTAGTAGATCTCTCTCTCTGTAAGTATCTCTCTCTCTCTCTCTTTATATCCTCTCTATCTACCTTTTTCATCAATTTTAGGCACCTTACTATCCTCTTCTATTAAATTCATTATTACTATCATCTTCAGTATACCTAGTTACCTAGGGATAGCCTCACTTTTGCCTATTTAGGAAGTTAGTATCTTACTATTCCCCCCCCCCCCCCCC